AACGCTGGAAGTGGTAGTTATGTGAGGGGGTTTCACATCAGCAGGTCTCTAACTGAAAGCCCCCAGCAAACTACAGAGATCTGAATTCAAATCCCCACTCAGTCATGAATCTCAGTGTGACCTTGGGCCATATTTCAGCCTAGCCTACCTCACAGGGTTGCTGTGAAAATAAAATTGGCAGTGGGACAGGAGAGAACCATGTATGCTGCTCTAAGCTCCTTGGAGGAAGGGCAAGATATAACAAGTAACAATGGTGTTCAACTGAATGTACAGGACCCCCTTTTTTTTGCAAGCTACGGTCCTTGATTCAGACACAGGAATAAAAGCTTACCTTATGAGCCAGCAAAAGAAAAACTGCAAATGAAGCAGCGTCTGCCTATTTTTTTTATTATTTTTTTGCATGTGTTCTATATTACGTTTATGCACAATAGAATATATCTTGCCTCAAGGCAGGAAGGGTCTGTGTCCTCATGCCTGGTCTTTGTCTTCAGAGGACAAAGAACAATTCCTTCCAGGACAGGGATAAATCTCTTTGATGTTAAAAAAGACCCCCACACAAACCCAACCCTCCTTTGTCAGCTTTGCAAGGTGATATCAGGAGATCAGCTCAGAATGAAAAGTCTTTAAATAATTCAGCAAAGAGGCTGAGCTGAGGCTCAGAAATGGAGATGTTTGGAGCTGCATTTCTGCAAGAAGCAGCCAAAACATGTTACATTTATATTGGGGTGGGGAAATCTCAGGCCTGCAACCCCCCCCCCCCCCAGGATTCCCTTGGGACTCTCACCAGGTCACGCCCTTCACTGGTCCTGCTCCATGCTTTTACCTGGCTAGTCCTTGAATTGTGACAATGCCCACTGCATTTAAAGCATGTCTTCTCCCAAAGAATCCCGAGGACCATAGTTTACTTCTCACAAGCTACAACTCCCAGCACCTTTAACAAACTACAGTTCCCAAGATTCTTTGGGGGCGGGTGGGAAGTAATGTGTTTAAATGCACAGTACTTATGCAGCTTGTCTCTGTGTACAAAAACTCTTGACTTTTTGGGGGGCCTGAATGTCACATTGCTCCACTCACTTTTGTCTTTGGTCCCACCCACCTGACATGCATCTCCCGGCAGTTTCCCCCAGTGTGACTGCAGTCCTTGGGCCAAAAAAGGATTGCTACTTGCACCATTGATAGCGATCCTGTTTGCATTTCTAGCTGTGCAATTCTATCTGCCCAGAAATAAACCTCAATTGTACTCACGTGAGGTTGAGAGCCAGTGTGGTGTAGTGGTTAAGAGCGGTAGTCACGTAATCTGGGTAACCGGGTTCGCGTCTCCGCTCCTCCACACGCAGCTGCTGGGTGACCTTGGGCCAGTCACACTTCTTTGAAGTCTCTCAGCCCACTCACCTCACAGAGTGTTTGTTGTGGGGGAGAAGGGAAAGGAGAATGTTAGCCGCTTTGAGACTCCTTAAAGGGAGTGAAAGGCGGGATATCAAATCCAAACTCTTCTTCTTCTTCTCACGTGAGGTTTACACCCAGGTACTGCAGGTCTGTATATTATTACTGCCTTAAAACCTAATGACAGAATTGAATGGGTGGAATTTGCATAAAATGAGCCTCCCTGCTCTTGGAACATGGAGGTTTGGATAAGAATGCTGGCCACGATGCGGGATTTTATATCCAATTATTATCAGGCTGGGTGCTCTTAAAAGGAGGGAGCAACATTTCTGGGAGAAGAAAGGGCATCGAGCCCCCTCTCTCCCTCTTTTTTTCTTCTTCATATTGCAAGCCTGCTGGGGAGCAGGGATCTGTTTGTACTCTTTTCATTTGACAGCATATGCCGTGAAGCTGCAGAGTCAGTCAAGCTATAAGCTGAAACAGGCAAACAAACATATTGGATGAAGCCCCCAAGTCCCCAAATTCATACTGCAAATTCACCAGTGTCCAGTCTGTTCCAGTTCTAACCAGAAGCAGAAAAAAAATCAAATAAAAAAAATTCAATTTAGAAAAGCAAGAACATCCCCAATGGGTAGGCTGCCAACGCTACCTCCTGTTTAGCAGGATACAGCCAGCTCTATGGATGACATTTTGCTGCCACACAGCTCTCAATCTTGTTCTGAGTGGGTTTCCTGTGGTTTCCTGCCAACCCATCCCACTTTAAGCCTTATTAATAAAGCCTTATGTAACCGTGCTGTTGGCAGACACGTTGCAGTATCAGGTGGAACATCTAGTGGAAGGATGCTGTAATTCAGAGAATGTGCAGAAATGGTGGTTATGTGCATGTGTGAGGGGGAGTAATGCGATTAAACAACTCGGAGAGAACAGGAAAACTTGGGGATGGTTCCTTGGGATGAGAAGTGTGAAAATGGGGGGAAAAGTTAAATTGTATATGGAATGGCCACTAAGGGTGAAGCAAGTAAACAGACAGAGCTGGGTCAGGTTCTGCTTTCTTGGTAGGAACCTCTGAGCCCTCATTCTCCCAGGCACAATCAACTGTCACTCCAGGCATCTTCCCAAAGGGATGTGGGTGGCACTGTGGTCTAAACCACTGAGCCTCTTGGGCTTGCTGATCAGAAGGTCAGCGGTTCAAATCCCTGTGACAGGGTGCGCTCCCATTGTTCTCTCCCATGTTTAGAACTGGCACTCCAAGCATGTTCCAGTCTCTCGCTTCCCCTGGCCCTGGCTCCAAAATTCTCCAGCCCATCCGAGTGCTGTTAAAACCTTCCAACAAGTAAAAATGAATGTATTTTCCCCATAACACAGGAGCAGAGGAAGCTGCCTTATACTGAGCCAGTTTAGTGGCCCATCTCCACTTAACTGACAGCAGCTCTCCCTACCTGAAGATGCCTGGGATTGAACCCAGGGCCTTCTGCATCCAAAGCAGATGCTCGACCACTGAGCACTGTGTCCCTAAGGTCAATATTTTCCTGTCTGGATTACTATAGAAACATTTCCCGCAGGAAGTTGCCAAGGTTTCACCCTCTCATCCGTTACCCACTCTGAATTCACGCAGCAGGCATGACTGAGACAAATGAAGCTGCAGCTCTTTGATGAAACTGACTCAAGCTTGCAGTAGCTGCCTTTGCGGGTGGGGTGGGCATGGCAAAGAGAGTCACCTGCATTTTGCACACTGCAGAGAAGGAGCCGAACCAGCCCCCAGTCGTGCTTTTTCGGCTGCAATCCGTTAAAGCTCTTTCTAGGGAGTCAGTTCTCTTGACTGAGTGGGGACTTATTTCTGAGTAGACATGAGGAGGATTGCACTGTGTTTTACCAGCTGCAAGGGAAGAAAGAAGTTTGCAGATTAATCCCTTCTAGAACAACAACAAAAATGCAAGCAGCAGAATGCAGAAAGTTAACATTATGATACTGTACACTATATACACAGGGCAGTATCCATCTAACACACCCTGCCAATGAAAAGATTTAAGCTTGTGCAGCAGAACTCCCCACCCTCCTCCTGTACCCTCCCCAAATCTGCTCCAGAGGGTTGGGGGGGGCTCCCCGAACAGATTGGGGAGGGGCGTAGGGAAAGCCAGGAGGGGAAAGTTTCATTGTGTAAGACAAAATCCTTGAGCCAAAGGAACTATTCACTTAGTGATACTTCGAATACAACCCAACATCCCTAAAATCTGCAAGAAAGTTAACGAGAAAAAGAAAAGATGGCACCAAAATGGCATAAAAATGAGAGGAAAGCCTCAAGCAGTTTCTGGATAATTTATTGTCCAGTATGCTGCTACAGTTGTCCTCATCAAGGGTGCTGGAAAATTCAGATAGGCAAAAAGTAAAACCAATATATAACTTTCTATAGTAAGTCTCAAAGGAAAGCAATCAGAGTACAAAATGAGCAAAAGCAGAAACTTACTCTATTATTTCATTTTTATTTATTAAAAAAGCCTACCACTCACTGGGACCCCAAATACTAGACTGGGGTAAAACATAAAAATAAATTATAATACCTAAATCAATAAAACATCCAATTCATTAAAATATTGGAGAGGCAGCTAAAAACAATAGAGGAAGCTGCATAACAAGGGTGGGGAATACTTTTCAGCATTATTTTTCTTCTATTGCTTTATTACTCTGTAGATCATTGGTTGATTAATCAATGAAAGCTCATTGGATTGACAGTGCAATCCTATGTTCATTTCCTCAGAAGTAAGTATAGGTTTAGGGTATTGGTTTAATTAATATATTTACTTGGAAAATGTATAGACCATGAAACTTAAGCTAATATCTTTACAGGGTTTACTGGGCCTGTGACTGCTATAGTAAAATTCATAATGCATTGCAATGAACAATAAGATTGCAATAAGACAATCAATTTTGTACAGATAGGATTGCATTAAGATTTCTTTCATCAGCCCTAGTTGTTAATGGGTGGAATGTAAAGGTAAAGGACCCCTGGACAGTTGAATCTAGTCAAGGGCAACTATGGGGTATGGTGCTCATCTCACTTCAGGCTGAGGGAGCTGGCATTTGTCCGCAGACAGCCTTCTGGGTCATGTGGCCAGCATGACTAAACCGCTTCTGGCACACCGGGATGGAAGTCAGAGTGCACGGAAACACCATTTTCTTTCCCGCTGCAGCGGTATCTATTTATCTACTTGCACCGGCATGCTTTCGAACTGCTAGGTTGGCAGAAGCTGGCTCACCCCGTCACACAGATTTGAACCACTGACCTTCTGATCAGCAAGCCCAAGAGGCATAGTGGTTTAGACCACAATGCCACCCGCTCCCTGTTCTTTATGGTCATGGGGATGGGAAGTTGCCATGATTAGCAAGCGTATGTGTTAAGTCAATGTGCCTGTCCACCTTTGCCAGAAGCATGTATTTTGCCCTCAGCAGGGGAGAGAAGCCTCGAGTAAAAGTGTGCTATTGGCACGTGTGTATCCGCCGAGGGAAAGGGCGTCGTGAGAAAGGGGTGTGTTTGTGCGTGGTCTGGTCTGCCTCCAAGCAGAGCGAAAACGTGTCTGGCCAGAAGCTCCTGCGGCAGGTTGCTGCTGGGTTAGCAGCTGTTCAGTACTGAGGCAAGGGGCGTCCGCGGAGGACAAACAGCGGAGAGTCCCCAGGCGGACGTGCGCGAAGGTGATGCAACCGCCAGGCGGGAAGAGGGGAGCTGGGGTCGGGACTGGCGAAGGGATGCGCACCGGCTGCAGCCGGGTGGGCGGGCAGGCACCGGGCGGGGATTCGCTGGCTGAGTGATGCTCCCGCCGCTTCGATGACTGGCTCAGGGCGGCATCTCTCAGCCGCCCCCCTGCCAACACCCCGCCCGCCCTGCCGTCCCGTTATAAGAGCGCTCGGAGCCGTTCGCCACTTCGCCACAACATCATAGACCGGCGAGACCTGCGCCTCGCTGCCGCAGCAGCAACGCCGCCGCCGCCGGTCCCCTGGCTGGAGCCTCGGGGCGGGGGATCGGGGGAGAGAAAGCGCACCCCGAATCCCCGAGGCGATCCTGGGAAGGAGCTCCTTAGCCCCGTCGGGAGCGGAGCCCGGCGCGCCCCGGGCGCCTCGCCAGCAGCAGCGGCGGCGGCTTCTCCAAGGTGCGGCGGGGCGCTCCTCTCGCTCTCCGAAGCGCGCGCGCCTGGATGCCCGGCTGCGGCCCCGCGCCCTCTGCCGGCGAAGCCATGACGCCACACAGCCGCTCGGAGGCCGGGAAGCCTGAGCAGGCGGCCGCGGCAGCCGCTGCCAGCCGCGAGCTGGAGTTGCGCGGCGCGGGCGCCTCCGCCTCGTCCCTGCCCGCGGCGGTGCGGGGCGCGCTGGAGCTGGCCGAAGCCCGGCGCCGGCTGCTGGAGGCGGAAGGGCGCCGGCAGCTGGTGTCGGAGCTGGAGAGGCGCGTCGAGCAGCTGCACCGCGTCTTCATCGAGGCCGAGCTGCGCATGGCCAACCGCGCCGAGAGCCTGGGCCGCCTGGGCAGCGGCGTGGCGCAGGCCGAGCTCTACCTGACCGCGCACGGGCAGCGCCTGAAGAAGAGCCTGCGGCGCTGCAAGAAAGCCAGGCCGCCCGCCTTGCTGGCTTCGGCGCTGGGACTGGGCAGCTGCGTGCCTTGGGCTGACTGCAGAACGCGCCGCGGCCGAGGGGGCGCCCCAGAGCCGCCCGAGTCCCCCTTCAAGAGGATCCAGCAGGGGGCAGCTCCTTCTCCCCATCAGCCCCGGCGAACCCGGCCTTAGAAGTTGGGCGGGGCGCTGCACCCCTCTGCCACCCGCTTGGGGGGGGGTGATGTCGCTAGGAGGGTGGGGTGGAAGGCGACCGGTGCTAGTAAGCGTGCAGAGGGGTCTTCCTTATAGAATTTTCCTCCGAGGATGGGGACCGTTTCCCGAGCCCCCCAGAGCAGGAGGGTGTGATGATGATGTTGGTGAGCATCCTTCCTTCCTTCCCCATCTGCTTGTGGCAAACAGCTCTCTCCAGGCAGATCCACATTGTGCATTTAAAGCATACTTAATGCACGTTTAAAGTATATGACTTCCCCCAAGCAATCCTGGCAACTATAAATTTGTTAAGGGTGCTGGAAAGGTTTGTGAAGGAGTAAACTACAGTTCCTAGATTCTTTGGGGGGAGTTAAATATGCTTCAGATGTATAGTGTGGCTCTTTTCCAGCTGCTCATCATCATCATCAGATCTCTTGGCCTTGGGCTCAACTGTAGGAGACATCTGATTCTCACGACCATCTCATTCATTGACTTTCCTTTGGTTTGGATAAGTTTGGCTTGCAACCAGCCCCAGATTCAGCTGCTGCTCTGCTGCTCTTTAACTGGTCTGCTGAAGCTTTGAAGTTGTTCCAGAACTGGCTTTTTTGCTCTGACGGTCAGAGGGTGAGATGATGGTGAGAACCAGTCCTAGACCGCTTGCCTTTAGGAAGCAAAAAACGGCACCTTCTGCTCCTAGCCAATGAGTCCTTTTTACAGGAGTCGAGCAGTTGGGTGCTTCAGCTTCGACTTTTGGCAATGTCTGTTACCACAGGAGGCCTCTGCATTGCATTCTAGTGAGGACCCAGAGCAAAATGGGCAGCATGGATATGTCTAGGCAGTCCTTTTGGCAGCAGCTGGAGAGAGGCTGTTGAGTCTGCTGGTTCTTATGCAATCGAAAAGTACCCATCTGTTTTGTAGAAACTCATCCTCTTTAGTCCAGGGTCTGGGAGAGCTTCTGGATTCTGCAGAACTTGGAAACATTTCATCTTTGCATAACTCTTAAAAGCAGTCAGTTTTTTGTGGCTTGACATTGCCCCTCCTAAACTCTGCTAACACTCATGGGTCTTTGAAGGAAGAAATTTTGATTCAGGAAGAGAAGAGCAAGTCCCAACCCTCTGATTTTTTTTTGGCTTGGCTTCCAAGTTGTCTGCCAAAGATTCCACCTTGAAGTTGCTTGTCCGGCCATGGGACTTTAGTGATGTGGAGGAGTAGGCTTGCCCAAAGGTAAGCACCTGCTTCACAGACTTGACCTTCACCTGACACTCTGCTGCTAGATCTTCCTCAACACAGGTGCTTCTTTTACCCAGCAAGGCTGCTGGTCATGCTTGGCTTCTGTTCTCCCCTCACTATCACATTTCCGCTTACTGGATCCCAAGAAACTGGCCTTAATTTTGCCCTTGTACATAACAAAAGCTTCCTTTGTACACCAGGGGAAAACTGCTGTCGAACTGCAACCAAGACAAGAGGTACCCCGAATTGCTCCTTCCTGCTGTTTTGGACAATGGCGTTAAGGGGGGCTAAGCAGGAACTTTTCCCTACAATGATTGTATTAGAGCTTTTCTTTAGCCTCTTGTCTAGCACTTACTGACCTGAGTTGGACTGACCTGCTGTTCTGAACATCAGAAACACTATAATTTCTCATATTGAGAATCTTCCCTGGTCTTTATGGGGGCTAGATTTTGCCTCTTGCTGGTTAGCTGATGGGAACTTCTGAAATACTTTTATTGCACTTTTAATGTAGATGTTGGCATTGCTTTGCCATTTAGAATCTTACAGGGTAACGAATGGGTGCAGGATATCCACTGGATATTGTGCCCTTGATCCTCTGTATCCAACAGGTTTGGGTATATGGGGTGAAGAAATGCCAGCTTTGTACTTTTGTATTAGTTCCACTTTCAGCTGTTTTGACAAAGGAACAGATTGAATCAGATTTCAAAAGGGGGGTCAAAACGGGCCCTGAAAATGCTGAAACAAAGCCAGGCTGCATTTCTCTTAGGTAGGGCTACAGAATGCGCTTAGAATTCAAAGCTGAAATACTCGTTATGTAACTGGAATGTACTGTGCAGTCTAAGTAATACTGGACAAAATTGCTAACTTTCTCACTGCAAAAATAACTAAGGGTTTTCTTGTAGAATTCGGATTGCTTTTGCATCTAGCGAGGTAGCCTAGTTACTCTTATGCAGCAAATGCAACAAGGAGCTTTGGGCACCTGTGAGGTTCACCGAGTTTAAGCTTTTGGTGGTGCCATCCAGGCAGGACTTTGGGGCAAATGTCCAGGCTGCATTCAGCCGAATGGGCACCAGGTGGGGGTGGGGGACCTACGCCACAGGTTTGGCTAATCACATTCTGAAGTAAATGAAGTAAACAGGCATGGCCATCAAAAGAGGTAGGGAGACAAGAGACACTGCAATTCTAACACTTGCTTCCCTGGGAGTATGCCCCATTGGATTCAGTTGGTCTTACTTCTGAGTAGGCATGGTTAGGACTGCATTCTAAAATTACCTAGCTGTGCTGCTGCAGGAACTGGAGCAGTGAAGGAGATTGATGCATGAAGCACTAGGAGATAGTAGGCGGAGTGGTGCAGTAGGAAGAAGAGGAGCTCAGGAAGAGGCACCAGCTCATTGGAGAAATGCAAGTGTCCAGAGAAACCACTTGGGTTTGATAACTGCCAGACTTAAAAGCAAGAGGGGTAGAAAATCCCTTTAAGAAAAAAGGAGGGAGATTGCAAAATCAGGACTGAAATAAAGTCACTGCATTTAACCTGATCTTATCATAACGACCAGGATAACAAGAGGTTGCTTGAACAACAATAAAAATAGTGGAGACAGCAGGAGAGGAATTTTAACATTCTCATTTTTGAACACAGATTTTTCAAGAGACACGTCGTATTTTTTTAAAAAAGATTGGTGTGTATTTAAAGCTTCTGAAATAAGCTTTAAATACATACTAAGGGCTCACCCAAACTTACACTAGGCACAGGTCCACACTTTAAAGCACTGTGTCCAAGCGCTCCCCCCCCCGCTTGCCCCAGGTTAAAGCCCCGGAAGGACATCTTGAATGGCTTAAATGCATTGGAGTGACCGGTATGAAGAGTGACCATTATCCAAACATGCAACCCCTCTTCTCTTTCATATACAGTGCAGTCCTATATAGCTCCACTCAGAAGTAAGTCCTACTGTGTTCAAGTGTGGATAGGATTGCAGCCTAAGAAAGGGCCAGGCTGCCAACCACTAGCAATTTGGATAAACGCATGCTTTCAACCACAGAGTTGCATTCATATAGAGCAGGGATGTCCAGCTTCCGAGAGACTGTGATCTACTTGCACTAAAAAAACCACTGGCAGTGATCTACCCATTGTATTGACCGTAATTGTTGAGCTTCTTTTAAGGAGCAAAATTTGTTGATTTTGGGGGGGGGGTCAGTGTCTCGCGATCGACCAGGATCGACCACAGACACTCTGCGATTGACCAGTAGATCGCAATCGACCTGTTGGACAGCCCTGACATAGAGCAAAGAAAATTGGGATTCATGTGGTTTGGATAATGAGGGTGCCAGAGGTACTGGTTCTGACCTAGCTGTCTTGCATGGTTGCCAGGCGCAAAAGAGGACAGGGCCTCCTGTACTTTTAGTAGCAATGTAGAAAAGGGAATTCCAGCAACTATAGCTGGTCGTGAAGCTATTAAAGGTGCAGGAGCCCTCTCTTTTGCATCTGGATACCCTATTCAGTTATAATATTTCCCCTTCCTGTACAGCAATCCATTACAAGAATGTAAAGGATAGGAAATTTTGAAGCTGCTTCTCCCCCCACCCTGACCTTTGAGGGATAAAATGATATGTCTACTCTCCTCTTTTATAAAAGAACTCGAAGGTATTTGCTGGTGTGTTTGTTTTAGAAATAAATAGATAAATAAATTGCTATTTCATGAAAGTGCTGCAGGGACTACCTTAATGTGGAAGAGATAATCAGGCAGCTGGTCTTTACGTAATCTTTGCCTCCCATATGTTTCTGGCGAAGGGCTCCTGCCCTCCTGATGCGGCATTTGGGCTCTGTTGGAACAAATGTACATATTTTGCTACAGGCACCAGCTGGAAAGAAGCACATAGTTTATACCCAAATAAACATTGTGTTCATTGTTTTGAAGGTGGTTGACTTAAGTCAGATGGAAGAGGTGAGACACACAAAGCAAATCCCAGCTCCTGGGTGATAGCTTTGCAAATAAACAATGGGAAATACTTTGAAAGTGTGATTTTCTCCTCCCTATGGTTGAACACCTGTGCATGCTTACCTGGGAGTAAGTCTCATTGGGGATTGCTTTCAAGAGGGCATGTGTAGGAATGCTGAATAGCCACGATCACAAAATCATGTGAATCTGGAGGAGTGTCATTGAAATTAAAAGTGCTTATTGAGTAGATTTCTGCAGCTGAAAATAAAATAAAGGCACATGACGCAAAGCGGAGGCTGGCTGATTTATGGGAACGTGAATGTGTGCTGGTAAGGCATTGGCAGATGCTTGAAGTAGGCTGAGAAGCTGGTAAGTAAAGAGTGGAGAAACCTTTTAGGCTGGTGGAATCATTGTCCCTACCTTCATGGGTCAATGTTGACAGGAGGGTGGGACAACCCACCTGTCAATCATCTAAAAATCCCTTGTGGTGCTTCCCAAGCACCCAGCAGGCAGCTGGTTGTCTGACACTTGGGAAGAGCAACGCAGGAGGCTTTGCAAGCCCTTTGCTCAGCATTCAGGATTTGCTGAGCACAGGGCTTGCAAAGTGCTTTGGACAGCACTTCCCAAGCACTTGACCACTAGCAGGATGGCAAAGATGCTATTTGCGTGTTATCAGCTGTGGGATTGAGTTTGCCACAGGGAATTCTGTTGTGTAGCTGATGCAGCTGTGCCTCTATCTGCCCCACACATGATATCACATCAAATAAACAAACAAACAACCCAAAGCCACATCCCGGTAGCAATATGGGCTGGGAATGAATCTGATCAGGGTTGCAGCACAGTGCAGAAGCTGTGAATGCCTCCTAATACCTTAAGGAACAGCAGTCATTGCAAGTGCACAATAAAAAATGTTTGGAGGCGCCAACAGAAAATACACCTAATGGCAGATGCATGTATGGTTCCCAATGTGTTTTGAAAAATGTTTCTTAAGGAAAAACGAACACCATTTATTTGCAGTGTGTACCTTAGTAAGATCTGGGAGTGGGAAGAAACTGATGCTGCAGCCCACCAAAACTGACACATAAAACTCCCCAGTGTCGTGCACTTAGAACACTGTCAAAGAGTCAGTAATGGGCACACCAAGCCTCTAGTCACAATGCAAAATGATGCAGCCCTATGCATGCTTACTCAGAAGCAACTCTGCTTGACTTCATCAGAACATATGACTCATCCAGACTTGCCCCAACACTTTCCTCTGAAAAGCCCAATCTTCAGTGGTATACGTCAATCGGGTTCTGCGGGTTTTCTGGGGGAAGTGGCAGGGCTAGAGCAAAACCACTTGTCCCACACTTTCTAGGCACTGGTGCAACTGGAAAACCACTAGGACCTGTTCTTTCTAGGCAGGAGACAAACGTAAGTCTGGATGAGCTCTTGGTGTGCTTTGGTCAGGACTATAAACTTCTCGTCATCCCCACCACCCCAACCATGATTACATTACCCCTCCACTGTTGGAAGCAGTATACATCTGAATACCCATTTCTGGGGGCCACAAGTGGGGAGATTGCTGTTGCTTTCTGTTCCTTCTTGTGGGTTTCTCAGAGGAGACATCCGGCTGGCCACACTGAGAACAGGATGCCGGACCTTTCACCTGATCTAGCAGGGCTCTTTTTATGTTCTGTTGCCTCTCAGTCATTTCTCCTGCAGCACACGTAACTCCTTCAACCTTTCCTCAGAGTACTTGGATGGCAGGTTTTAGATGTACAATGCAAATCAACACACGTTTCCACAGAAGTGCCATTATGCTCAGTAGGACTTTGCCCCAGGTTAGCGTTCATAGGATTGTTGCCTCAGTGTGACAAGTTGCTCCATAAGGAGGCAACACAAATAAGCAAGCAATTCTTAAAAAACAACAACACCTCTACTTGAAATACTCCTGGCAGTAATTCCCAAGCCAGTACTGTTTCCCTTAACCAGCCTGGTGACTTTTCCTACTGCTGTGTCAGAATGTACCAGCACTGTGCGTCACGGTGCCAGCTCATACTGTGGAAATGCCAAGAGGCCTAGCTTGCAGCTGACTCATGCTGCCTGCCTTTCTTCATGCTACTGGGGAAAACGAGCTCCTTCTCAATGCCTCCACTTGCTCCAAACTTCACACTGAGCTATAACAACGTCCAGGTAGGTATGGCGCTGTTGAAGTTGACCGTAGGATGTAAGTCAGCTGCTGCCAGTGTCAGATTCAGGCTCCAAGGGGGATTGAGCTCAGATGAAGTCTGAGGAAAGCCAACTGAAGCCAAGGAACTGATCACAAAGATCAGTGCTTCCAGAAGTTTTTTTTTAATATAATTTGTTTTATTTGGTGGAATGTTTATATCTCAACACCCTTCATCAAACTGATGGGCCCAGGATAAGTAACAAGATATAGTCCTCATAAGAAACTGTTTACAAAATTGCAGCAAACAGAGTTGCAAGCACACTTTGTGTTTCCTTTTGGAAAATGGGGCACTGCAGAGACTCTGGTGTCTTTATGCTATATGGTTTATTTACACATATATACAACCTGAGTCTACCTGGGTCAATGCATTACACTCCAAGAGGGCCACTTGCTTCTCCCATAGACATAGCAGGCTTGGGTCTAAGAACAGAGAAATCAGCCATTCTCCCTGTCTCTTGGTTGCAGCCTGTTGCAGTCAGCCCGCATGGTGCTTTTCACCCCCATTCTTCTTCCTTTTCACCGCTAACCCAGTGAAACCATCCCCCTCCAGCCTTCATCATCCAAACAGGAATTCTAAACGATTTTTTTGTCTCTGCCCACTAACACACAGCTGGAGGAGGGGCTCCATTCCTCTTGCTGTCTGGCACTGAACGTCATGATGATTCATCTTTTGTTAGGTTAACGATTCAGCCATTGTCAGTCAATTACTTCAGGAGGAAGCCAGCATGTGTTATTTCCATCTTGAATCCTTACTGGATCTGGGACTTCAGTGTTTGCATTTTAACTCCCCCAACCTTGATTAAAATCTAACACTAAATCTAGAACTTCTGCACCCACAAAAGCTCTAGCACCAAAAATTTATAACAATATATTTTCTTTAAAAAAACCCCAACAACCTTGGATGTCCTTAGCAGGGTGATCATATGGAAAAAGGTGCTCCTGCACCTTAAGAACTGTTTCCAGATGGGTGGCCCCTAACGCTTCCCAGCAGTGACTTGCCTGGCAGTAGGGTAGAGCAGCAACAATAGTTACTGCTTAGTGGGAGACCAATGCAAGGTCTATGTTTTCAGTGTTGGATTGCAACTCAGCTTGTATTGAATACTGGTGTGTCTGCATGGGGAGAATGGAGAGAGAGAGAGAGAGGAACCTCCAAGCTCCCTAGACCAGGCATGGCCAAACTTGGCCCTCCAGCTGTTTTGGGACTACAACTCCCATCATCCCTAGCTAACAGGACCAGTGGTCAGGGATGATGGGAACTGTAGTCCCCAAACAGCTGGGGGGCCAAGTTTGGCCATGCCTGCCCTAGGGCTGTCCTTCAACATGTGCTGACCTTCCTTCAGGTGCTAGACTGATACTCTCTGGGTTGCTTTCCTCATTTCCTTTTCCCTTCTCTTTCATCTTCACATTGGGAGAGGAGACATATTTTTATGTCTCTCCTGCCGAGAGCAAAGAGCAGGCACATGGCTCTTTGCATCTCTCCACCTGGATTAGACACAATCTTTCCTAAGAAGTATGCATTTCCTTATATAAACTTAGCATTCTTATATTACAAAACTGAGGGTCTCATTGCGATTATAACCAAGGGTAAGCTGTGCTTATCCAGCAGGGAGCCAGTGCTCTCTTCAGCTTCCAAGCTGTGTGTTAACCCTGCATGCACATTTTAAGAGGCACATCTATGGAGCCAATCTGGCGCTCCCACTGGTTCATCCCCACAGCCCTGACTTTGCCACTGCCTTGTGCCTGTCCCTGCTGGTCAGTGGTAGAGACTCTGCTGCCATGAGGCTGCTCCCAACACTATCAGGAGTATTGCACTTTTTCTATATGTAGGTTCTGTCCATACCAGAGGGCTAATTCTTTTGTGGTGCACAGGGATTGGAGAATCTGCCCATTTCAGTTTCTCTCCCTCTTTTTTCCAGTCTCAAATTCGGTTCTCCACATTTCCACATAATTGTGTGTGTGTTTATAAAGTCTCCATGAAAATTCATCATCACTTTAATGTGAATTTCTTTTAATATACACGTTTGGTATGCAGTTATGCCTAATATATACATTTTTGCATAAGACTTTCCCCTAACATTATTCAGTTCTGTATGTTATTTTCACTATGTTCACTTTGCAGTTTGTGTACGCATGGCTTGGCTGGAGCATTGTGGTGCAAAATTCAAAGAAGTGAATTTTTTGTTTTGTTTTGGTTGTTGTATTATTTGGGAAAGTTCAAATTAGGTATTCATCTTTAAATGCAAACTGAATATAAAATCTCCCCTATCCCTAGTGGTGAGTGCCACTTTGACCCTGTTTTGTTTTTATTTTATTGATTTTTTAACTATCACTAAAACACAGTTCTTGCTGCTGCTGCTGCTTCTTTAAGTGAAAGACAGCTATGGCACCATAGACCCCATAAAGGAAGTGGAGGAAGGGAAGGCAGAGCAGACCCCCTCCTTTCTCACTGTTGCCATAATCTCATCCAGGGTCTAGTTGGCCAAAAGGAAAGTGGAGAGGATGGTTTTAATAGCAGTGTAAGGGAGGGAGGGAGCAGGGTTCAGATGGGAGAAGGAACACATTATCTCACAGAGGGTTTCAATTAATGGTATGAAATGCACAGCTTGGTCTTAAATCCTCCCGTTCTCTCTCCTCACTCCCAATGAGCGATTATTTTCAAATCAGCTTTTGACCCTATTATAGCAAAAGCCTACTTAAAAGAATTGAAAAGAAGAGTCTGTAAAAAAAAAAAGGAACCCACAAAGATTAAGATAATGCAGTCTGCCTCCTTTTCGACCCCTTTTAAATATCCAAAAGGAGACACTAGGATATAGAAATAACACAAATATAAGAACAATTAGAGACCCCAAAAAGCCAAATCGGAGCAGAGTAAAATAACAACTGTAATATGCCTGGTCAAACAGATAGATTTTGACCTTGAATTGGGCCTGGAAATGAGCTGGCAACCAATGCAGCTTTTTAGAGCAGTGATTATATGAGTTCTAAAAGCAACTCGAGCCAGTAATCTGCATTTTTTTGAAAAAAAATTTTTTATTAAAGATTTTCCTCATGTACAAAAGCACATGCATTGTCTGTTTCTTCAGGTTGTGTTTTCTACAGATCAGTTACATTTGTTGTGAGACATTGGCGTTATATGAAGTGTAGGGCTGGGAAGAAAAGTGGTGGGGACAGGAGAGGGGTGGCGGCAAAGCTTATGTTCTTTTACTTAGTGTATGTGTGGGGTTTTTGTGTCAGCGTCATATGGGTATGTTCTCTTTCTATTCGCTTCTCATGTTTCCTTGGTGATGAGAGAGGTTGGTGTGGCCTAGGGTGTTGCTGATTGTCTTTGGTTGGCTGCAGTGGAATTTGTTTATGTGTGGGTGTGGGTTGTTGGGTCAAGTTAGCCATATTGAATCGAATCCTGTCGGTGGGTTCATGTTGTTGTCTTGTTGGGTTGTGTATGTGATAAAGGGGAGCCATACCAGAGTGAAGGCGTTGTCTTCTATTTGTCCCCTTGTCAGTTTAAGTCTATTGGTTAGCATTTCTAGTAAGGCTGTTTCTTGATAACAGTGTTCCATGTTTATTCCTGACAGGTCCCTGACAGGCTATGATGTTTCTGGCTGCTGAGAGTAGGTGGGTTATGAGCTCTTTATAGTATGAGTAGGCATTGTTATCTTGGAAGATGTTCAGTAGGGCCAGTTCTGGGGTGACTTCTAGTAGCTGTTTAGCTATTTTGCTTATTTCTTGCATGACGTTTGACGTTTCCAAGTCATTTTCAAGGGCAGCCCCACATACAGTGCATTGCAATAACCCAGTCTGGGAATTACCAGCACATGCAGTTGCATGGCCAAGTCATCTCCGTCCAAAAGTGGTTGTTGTTGGTGAACTAGAAGGAGCTGGTAATAGGCACCCCCAGCGTGGCCACCGACACCACCTGGACCCCTCAAGTGACAATGTTTGATCTAGGTGTACCCACAAGATGTGAACCTGCTCCTTCCAGAGAAGTGCAACCCCAACCAGAGCAGGCCATCTTCCCACCTCCTGGACTTGAGAACTTGGAACATACCTGTAGAATACCTCAGTCTTTTCAAGAAGAAGAAGAAGAAGGTTTGGATTTGATATCCTGCTTTATCATTCCCCGAAGGAGTCTCAAAGCGGCTAACATTCTCCTTTCCCTTCCTCCCCCACAACAAACACTGTGTGAGGTGAGTGAGGCTGGGAGACTTCAGAGAAGCGTGACTGGCCCAAGGTCACCCAGCAGCTGCATGTGGAGGAGCGGAGACGCGAACCCAGTTCACCAGATTATGAGTCTACCATTCTTAACCACTACACCACACTGGCTCTCAGTTTCCATTTGTTGGCCCACATCCAGCCCATCACTGCTTCCAAGCACCTGCTTAGCATCTCAACTGCCTTTCCTGATTCAGATGGAACAGAGAGAAAGAGTTTGGTGTCGGTCATATGTTGGTGACCACTACTTGATTGCAGCTCCCAGCAGCTTCATATAGGTGTTAAACAGCATGGGGGACAAGCTGTGTAGCAACCACTTCCACCTGAATATTAGAATCATAGACTCATAGATACATTTGAGAGTGTATCTCTTGAGAGCCAGACAGCAGCTAAGTGCAGGAACAAAACTGTGGGGTGAATATTTCAGCCAATAATAGCATTTCTGGAAGCAGTAGGGTAACATGCCCTTTTTATGATAAATTGCACAGCATTACTCCATGAGGATGTTAATGTAACTCCAAAGACAGGATCAATCTTCTGAACGATGCCCCACCTTCAACCACCACCACCTCCTGCACAAACTCAGATCTGTTCCAGGACCTTGGAATACAATGATACAAATGCATACTTGGGAGATAGAGAGATCAACCAATGTAAGCTTTAGTACACATTTCCCCCCCTAGACTATGCATCCTCCCCCCCCCCCCTTAACATGACATGCTTGCATTTTGGAACTGTTGGGAACTGTGGATTGTAACTAGTGTTGTGAGTTGACAGGAGATCACTGTTTCCCTCATGGAACTACAGTTCCCAGACTGATTTAACAAACAATCCCTCTGCCCAGGAAAGAAAGAAAAAAATAATACTAGTAGGGTGATAACTTTCTTTTTGACCAATATCTAATACAGGAGTTAGGAATCTTTTCCAGACTGAGGGCCGTATTTTCTCCTGGGTCCACATATTTTCTTCTGGGGGCCACATGCCAGTGATGGGCAGGGCCAGAAACAAATGTGAGGGGAGCAATGTATATACTTCTTAATCTTACACACAGTAGGCTTCTTTTACACATCCTCATCTATACTCCATTCAAGCAACCAAGAGGGATTATCAGAGTTCAAGGACACATTCCAGTCAGGAGGAAACACTCACAGAAGTGGCAAACTATGGTTGGTGAAGTGGGTGTGGCCTGGGGAAAGGAAATATGGCTGAGGAAAATTTGTAGCCTAGAGAATGACCTGAAGACCAGAGAGATCTGGGGGGGGCCAATTTCCCCTCAGAGCAAGAACTGGCCATCTGTTTAGGGTGCTGACCTCTGACAGGACCTTCCCCTCTCCCCGCACCATGGAAGAATATATCAAATATCTCCTTCAAGGGTGGAGTTATTTAAGCTACTAGGAAACAGTGTGGCATGCAAATGAGGTGAGTGTGTCTGCATATGAAATGGGTTTATGACATGTGCTTGTACAGCCCAGTGTGTGCACCTAGAGAGTATCTGGAGGGAGCTACCATATGGTGGTACTGATCAAAGGAGCTCTCAAGGGACATGTCCACAATGAACGGTTTGGGGAGTTGCCTGAGCTGGAGGGATGAGGATGCTGGACTGGTACTGCTGCTGCTAAGGTGTCTCTTCTTTCTGCTGACGACGTTCCCTTTGCCAGCCACTGCTGGGAATGGGATGTCTAGTAGAACAGTCATTTTAGGCATGAGGGTGGAGAACAGCACCAAACCAGGTACTACAGTCTTGGAAAATGGCATCATCCAAGTGGTGGAAGGAAGCGTCATCCGGCTTCGGATCTTCGGCCAGGGCATCCACCGACCTACTTGCCAGATGTTATACTTTGCTGACTTACCTGATGTGTCAGATGCTAATGCTCACGGGGACCCCTGCATCAAGAAGAGCAGTGACATGCTGGTGAACCCCTACTGCCACGAGGTACGGAACACCACCGCCCTGGTGGATGTGTCAGTTCAGATCCTGCGGAAGGAAATCGAGTTCAAGAACTATGTGATGTGCTTGGAAGATCATTCGGGCAAGCCACGGTATTGGTTTAGCGACCGCGATTTGGTGATCCAAGTGATCGAGGGAGATCATTTAAAACTGCCTCTCTGGCTGAAGTTAGTCCTGGTGGTCATCCTACTGGCGTTGTCAGGCATGTTTAGTGGTCTCAACCTGGGCCTGATGTCCCTGGACCTCATGGAGCTGCGCATCATCCAGAACTGTGGCACACCCATGGAGAAGAAGTATGCCACTATGATCGAGCCTGTTCGGCGGCACGGCAATTACCTGCTCTGTTCTTTGCTCCTCGGCAACGTCTTAGTCAACGCCTCCTTCACCATACTGTTTGACTCCATGGTTAGTGCAAGCCTTCTGGCTATAGTGGCCTCTACATTTGGCATTGTTCTCTTTGGGGAGATAATCCCCCAGGCCCTCTGCTGCCGCCATGGCTTGGAAGTGGGTGCCAAAACCATTGTCATCACCAAGTTTGTCATGCTGCTGACTTTCCCTCTCTCCTACCCTATGAGTAAAATACTGGACTATGTACTCGGTCAAGAAATGGGCCTCAGGTACAACCGAGAGAAGCTGATGGAGATGCTGAGGCTGACCGAGCCATACATGGACCTGCTGAAGCAAGAGCTGAATATCATCCAAGGAGCACTGGAGCTGAGGACTAAGGCAGTGGAGCACGTCATGACCCCCCTGCATGATTGCTTCTTGCTCAACAGCAACGCCGTCCTTGACTTCAACACCATGACGGAGATCATGGAGAGCGGCTACACACGCATCCCCATCTACGATAAGGAGAGGACGAATATAGTTGATATGCTGTATGTCAAGGATCTAGCCTTTGTGGACCCAGATGACTGCACCCCGCTGAAGACAATCACTAAATTTTACAACCATCCGGTGCATTTTGTTTGCCACAATACTAAACTGGATGCCGTGCTTGAAGAGTTCAAAAAAGGTAACAAGGTGGAGATCGAGTCAGCTTCAGCCTCCATTTAAAAGTTAACTTTTTGTTTCTCTTTTGGAGAAGGAGCAACTTTTAAATAGTGGTTACCTTTAGAACAGGCCAGAGGGGTTGGTCATCATCCAGAGAAAGTGATGGCATAGATTGGTGCCAACGTTTTATGGATGACAGAAATGGCCCTTGCCCATTGAGGCCCAGTGTCTCCCCAGGCAGAACTCAGATGAATCACAGGAGGTGGGGTGAGAGAAGAGTTCAGCACCCCCTTATATAGCACCCTGTCAGGGGCAGCCCAACCTGTGTTGCCACCTGAGGTGAAACAGGAAAGTGCCACCCGCGTTGCCACAGCCTTGTGAGAGCCCCACAAGACCTCATGGAGCTCTCGCAGGGCTCTCGCAAGATCTTGCCATAACTCAGAAGTCTCAGCCACTTCTCTTTACTTCTCTGCTGGTGGGGGCACCCATGGCAGCACCCCTTGGATTCTTCCACCTGAGTCGGCTGCCTCACTCTGCCTCATGGGTGAGCTGGCCTGAGCACATGGCTCTCTCATCATTCTTTGCCTCTGGGGATGACTGCCCTGTAACTTCTCCCACTCCATAGCCATAAGGATGTAAGAAGAGCCCTGCGAGATCAGGCCAAAGGCCCATCTTAGTCCAGCATCCTTTTCTCCGAATGGCCAACCACATGCTTATAGGTAGCCTGCAAGCAGGACCTGAATGCAACAGCCCTCTCTCCACTTGTCCTTCCCAGCAACTGGTGAATCCTATGCAGAAGCAGGTGACTGCAGAATCAGCTACAGGCACTTTAAGGATTGCAGGCAGCTTTCCTGAAGGAACAGGAGAAGGATCTCCTACAGCCTTCCCCAAACCTGGTGCCAATCTCCAGGTGTTGTTTTTCTCCAACTCACAGCCAGAATAAGGATGACAGGAGTTGTGGTCCAACAATATCTGGAGGGCACCAAATTGGGGAAGGCATATATACTATGACTCTTCTTTAAATGCAACAGTTGTCTTAGTTAAAGCAGAATGGAAGCAGGGGATCTACAGGATGAAAGAAAAAGGCATGTCGGAGGTGGGATTGCATTGAAAGCAGAAAAGTCCTGTGTTCAGTCCCTGACACCTTCCATTCAAAAGGGTCAAATAGCAGAGATGTGGAATATTATTTCCCATCTGAGACTTTGGAGAGCCACTGCCAGGCAGAATAGGCTGGGCTACCGGTAGATGGACAAATGGTCAGAACTATAGATAAGTTTGCTGAAGAGCTGTAAGGCACACCTTGAGAGACACAGGTTCCCCATCTCCATAAAAGAACATCTGTGGGCCAAAGCCAAAATTATATAAGAATTTTATTTAATGGATATACCGGTAACTCTTTAAAACTTTTTTGAAACTAATTTTATATATATTTGTTTGTTTTTAAAAACACCATCAAATGATGTCTTCGCCTCAGTGCATGGGTGTAGCCAGGATTTTTGTTGGGGGGGGGGAGCAGGACTTTGTTAGGGGGCAGAACTGAAGTGATTAGTCAGTTAGTTAAGTACTTCTATTGTTTTACTTGATCTAGGGGGGCAGCTGCCCCCTGCTTCTTCCCTTGGCTATGCCCATGCCTCAGTGATATAACCAAAGTCTGCCCCACAGGTAAATCTCACCTGGCCATTGTCCTAAAGAAGAATGAGGTTGAGCATGAAGATGAAGGTGAAGTGTTGGGTATCGTGACCCTGGAGGATGTCATTGAAGAGATAATCAAGTCAGAGATCCTGGACGAATCAGATCTCTACAGTTAGGTTCATTCCTAGTTGTTTTTCTACCTATGAAACAGCAGTGTGTGTGTGTGTGTGTGTGTGTGTGTGTGAGAGAGAGAGAGAGAGAGAGAGAGAGAGAGACCACTGCATTATATTTCCTCATATTGGGTGTGGGTGGGGAAGCTATGGCCCTAAAGATATTGTTGGACTCTAACTTCCATTAGCCCCAGTTAGTATGGCCAATTTTTAGTGATGATGGGAGTCCTACAATATTTAGCAGGCCTTGTGTTCCTCACCTGTCTTCAGATGAAGGCTTAACACACACTGTGCTGTGGCAGGTGCAACTGTATTTTGTTCCCACCAATGGTGACTCAGCTAGCCTATCTTGGACTACTGCCATTTCTGCAGAAAACTCTCTGAGAAGAATGGTAGAGGGAAAAGATCATGATCGGCACTAGTTTTCCAACTGAATTTTGCTAATTTCTCTTGCAGTTTGCCTAGAATCAATAGTGTCATGAGGTAATTTGGGACTCTGGCCTTGGGTTTAGGGTTACTGAGATACTGTTGCAGGAGCTATAATTGCTCCAAGCTGCAATGTTATGAAGCACCAATAGGCAGAATTAAAATAAGGAAATTATGGGCTGTCAAAACAAGGTGGTGCAGAAGTCCAGGACCTCACTCAGCAGAAGCAAGTGAAGGAATGCACATTTATCTGAGGAGCCCTCCTGAATAATCATTATCTAACTGCACCACTGCTTTTGACCTGCTCCCAATGGTGACCGGTGCCCATTGGGCCTGGTGGAGCTCAGGGCATTGCAAACAGAGCCGGGGAAAACAATAGGCGAAGCGAATAGTCTTTTCTATGGCAACAAAACAGTTCCCCCAACCCATTTCATGGAAGGCAACATGGTGAGGCTCAGAGGCACTGCCCCACTTTGTCCACTTGAGGGGCGCTCTCTAGTTGCTCCCCAGTCTTGCCTCATGGTTTGTCCGTCAGTCCTGGCATCTGGTTTGCTCCTCAACCTTGCTTCCTGATTTGTCCTCCAGTTCCAACCACCTTCTTGGTCCTGACTGCTGGCTTTGCCCCTGGACTCTGATCCCTTTGTGCAACTCCTAGTTCTTGGTTTGGGGCCCCCAGCTCATTAAACTGCAGACAGGTATGGAGCCCTGCTGTTTATCCTTACCTAGCCCTCTGCGTTGCCAGGAAAAATGAGAAGCTTTGAGAAATTCCAAGTACAATCCAGGTTGCGTGTTGCCGGTATTTTCAAAAAAGGCTAAACTCCATGGATATATCAACTCTGAACTTGATCTTGCCAGTTAAACACATTTATATTTATACAAACATATTTCTTTGGTGTGCTCTGAAGGGACATGATGCAGCCAACATGCTCAAGCTAAGCAGATCTGGGGCTGCTCAGTGCCTTGACGAGGGACCACATGGGGAGTCCTGTGGATGCCATTTTAGGTTCCATCATGGAAAATTTCAAGAAAAGCCTAACTTAGGGTATTGCTGCCACCAAAGGCGTGGTGGGTGGTATTGCGGGGGGAGGATAGGAGACACCTCAGTGGTGATACTGACTTTGATTCCATTTCAGTATCAGGCAAAGGTCTCAGCTGTTTTATCTCTGCTGATCACTCGGACTGGGGAGACCCACCCAGGGACCATAAAGCTCACTGGGTGACTTTGGGCCAGTCACTATCTCTCTGCCTAGCCTACCTCGCAGGACTGATGTGAGGATGAAAGGTGTAAGGGGGGAACATCTGGATTTGTTAGCTGCCGTAAATGTACTTGTGAAGGCTGGAGTATAAAGTCATCCAAAAATGTAAAACAAAATAATTTCATACTTCAAGCTTTTTGTATGGCAGCTCCTACACTTTGGAACTCCCTGCCTGTGGACATCAGGGATGTGCCTTCACTGTGCTCATTTTGGCACCTGCTTAAAACATTTTTATTTAGGCAAAGCTATCCGGATACATGGATGTTGATGTGTTTGAATATAACTATTTAAAATATTTTCAGTTACGGGATGTGGGTGGCACTGTGGGTTAAACCACAGACCCTAGGGCTTGCCAATCAGAAGGTCGGCGGTTCGAATCCCCACGACGGGGTGAGCTCCCGTTGCTCGGTCCCAGCTCCTGCCAACCTAGCAATTCGAAAGCACGTCAAAGCACAAGTAGATAAATAGGTACCGCTCCAGCGGGAAGGTAAACGGCGTTTCCGTGCGCTGCTCTGGTTCACCTGAAGCAGCTTAGTCATGCTGGTCACATGACCCAGAAGCTGTACGCCAGCTCCCTCGGCCAATAAAACGAGATGAGCGCCACAACCCCAGAGTCGGTCATGAATGGACCTAATGGTCATGGGTCCCTTTACCTTTACTATTTCCAGTTACATGTTTTGAACTGTTTTATTGATCATTTTAACACTTCTTGTAAACCACTTTTTGTTATTAAGAAGTGGTACAGTATATACATTTTGTCTCTTAAAAATAAAATCCAAATGCATGTCAGTCACGGTAGAATCTAGCAATCTTTTCGACAAGGGCTAAAGGGGAAGCAAAATTGGTTTTGAGATGGGGGGTCACCCCCTCGGATGGGGGGACAAGACAGGAAGCTCCCAAATTCCACGTCACTGGTTTCTGAGCCATCTCGCAGACAGCTACCATGTGCTTTCAGATTTCCCTCAGTGATCATGAGGACTAGAAACATATATGTTTGTTTAGATCCACATGCGACTGCGAGATTCTGCTCTTTCCATTTCCTTCCACTCTTACATTGCGTAGTGTTCTCATGGCTGCTTCTGTAACCACACAGTGTAGTGATTCCTTATTTGGTTTCCTCCCTTGCAGCCTACAATCGTACCAGAAGACGAGATGCCAGCCCAAGGAAGTGGGACTTCTCGGCCTTCAAGGGCAATGACACTGAGTTGAAGATCTCCCGTCAGCTACTCCTGGCTGCACACCGCTTTCTCTCTACAGGTACGAGCCCTCAGGGACCACCTGGGCCACTGGAAAGGTCCCGTCTGATCTGAAACTTAAAGCCAAACCTACCTGAGTTGCACACATGCATATTCAAACTCCTAGCTCTGTACACATACAGAGTATCTTCCCAATGAGCTGTGCTCCTGCTCAGTTCCTGTTCACTTCAGTGCAGCAGGCACAAAAGGATTTTCAGGTAGCTGATGCCCATAATATGTGAGTGCCATCACTCTCCCACTCTGTTCCATCCGACGCCACCAGCCCTCTGCCTCCAGCTGGCTAACTCGCTTTGCCTCATGGTGGCATGGATCTGGGAAAGGATTTTGCTTACAGGAAGCATCCTTTGATTCCTGTGCCCTCTCCTTGTCATGCAGAGGTCTTGCAATTTTGCCCGAGCCTCATCTCTGAGAAGTACCTGCTACGTCTCCTCAAGCACCCTGGTGTCATCTGTGAGCTGAAAATTGATGAGCAGGACAAGGAATCTCCTGAATATAACTTGTATGAAAAGAACAAGCCGGCAGATTACTTCATTCTCATTTTACAGGTACTTTGTTGGCACTTCCTACTCTCTCCGCACAGCCAAGGAAGCACCAAGTGCATGACCTAATCTGTGGGTCATCAATGCAGCACTTTGGGTAGCCAAGGTGCCCACAGATGTCTTCCTGGTGCCTGCTGGGTCCCATCTTTGTGCTGAAACTTGAAAAAGGCCTTCTTTAGCCAAGGGGGGGGGGGTTACAGCTAGGGAGCAAAGACAGCACACGTGTGAGGCCCACAACAACTTCTATGGTTTGGCATAAGGGCCCATGGATGCAGAAGTACCCCATGCTTAGGCTATAGTCATGTATCCAGACAAGACAACTCTCATGGTCTCTTCCAACTCTACAGTTCCATGATACTGTGACCCTGCTAGTGACAGGCCAATTGGAACAGAGCCCACCTTAAAAGCCTTATCACTGGTGGCACTCCATGTGGCATGTCAGTACCAACTGCGTGTCCAACGGCAAATGTGTACAGCATCTTTAGGCCAATGTTGCAGAACACAAGAGGGGGAGGGACCCATGAGGTCATCTGGATCAACCCCTTCATGTAGGAGGAAATGTGCTCACCATCATCCCTAGTGAAGCATGACACACTACAGGATATATATAACTATACACCAGCATACATGTATATGCATGCAGGCATACATAAATTATACAATAGGAAGGCCACTGCTGGACATCTAGTCCAACTCTGCATCCAAATTAATTCTATTAGTAATCCTGTGTAGGTTAATAATTAGTGCCATAATAGGAATATGCAGCTGCCCCATACAGGGATTGGACCTGCCACCTTTGGCAGTTTGTAAGAGGCACTGAGCACAAACCCTCCATTGTAGATGCCAAGAGATAAACCAGGCATCTACTGCGAACGTGCTTGTGCAGATCACATGGCGCCGACCATGTGGCCAAAAACAAAATGGCGCCGACCATGTGATCACAGCAACATGGCACCGTCCATGCATCAGGGACAAAATTAACACCAGCCATGTGAAATAAACTGGTGCCGAACTCTTGGCCCCAAGGGGGGGTTAGCCTGGATGCAGCCCCTCCTCTCCCCCTCCCCCCAAGGAGGCCGCTGCCTGCGGACCCAGCAATCCGCCTGTCAGCGCCAGAATAAAGGAAGCCCAGCATTGAGGATGAGGCGACAACAGGCGCCATGACATCAAGACCTGGGCCATGTTACCTTAAGAATAAAGGTGGGTCCAACTGTGGTGGTGGCCCAAAGGGCCACAATAAATGTGATACCCCTGTAAATCCTTGAGTGTGCTTCTAATAGAAAAGTTATGGTAACCTGTTATGTACTTTATGAAACTGATGATTTTGCAAGTTGCCGGCCCCCACTGCAGTTGGGGCAGGAATACAGCTAATATATGAATCACAAAGATACAGCTCAAAGCTAGAACATAAGTTGCTACCTGGTGCAAATGGCTACACGTAACATAGGTTTCCAACACACACACTAACACAATGTAACAGAACATGGTGGGAATCGGAACTTAATCAGCAGAAATTGCCAGTGCCTACTGCGCATGTGTATGAAACATGAAATGAGGTAATGATGTATATGATTGGTGGAAACTGAAATGCTTTGCTGAAAATTTTATAAATACCACTGCCTGGACCACCAGGTGGGGTTGCAGTTTTGCGAAATGATCCGACTGTGACCTATTGCTTTGCAATAAACAGCACTGGACTCCTAACTCCTCACGTTTCTGAATTTTATTGGTGTAAACTCAGGAGATGATAAGCTATTTTCTGGCTTACAACACAACAACAACCTTCCTTGCTGACGCTCTGACCAGAATGGCTGACCAGCATTGACTGCAGCCTCCTTTTCTGATCCCCAGCTCTGCCCCGGGGCCGCAGCCGATTGGCTGATGGTGCTGGTCATATGGATGACCTACAGCCTATGGGGACGGCCCAGGGGTCAGAGCAACGGGTGGCGTGGCCCCGTGGGTCAGGGAAGCTGTGCTGGGTTGCAAAAGCCACCCACGTCATGACTGGTGAGCAGTCATTAGCAGGTCTAACAAGTAAAATAAGAGATCCAAGTATATTGTGGAGAATTTGTAAAATAACTGTAAACATGTGAAAACGCTAGCAGGATTAAGGTAAACAACAGTATAGTATATAATAAAGGAATAATAAAAGGAAAGGGGAACTAAATGGATATATGAGAATATGCAGGAATGGTGGGGAAAATAAAGGAATCAGGGAAGGGAAAGAAGAGAAGGCATTGAATGCATATAAAGAAAGAAATTAACGGGGGAAATGTTTATTTTAATGTGAACATGATATTGGAAATTGTAATCATTGTAATAATGATTATAAATAAAATTCATTAAAAAAAGTTTGGTGGGAGTCCAGCAGCATCTAGAGGGCCACAGGTTCCCCATATCTGCAGTACTGTAAGTAAAAAAAATATAAAAAATTACTGCAGAATCATAGGACTGTAGAGTTGGAAGGGACCATGAGAGTCATCTAGTCCAACCCCCTGCAGTGCAGGAAACTTTTGCCCAATGTGGGACTCGAACCCTTAACCTTGAGATCAAGAGTCTCATGCTCAACCGACTGAGCTGTCCTGCACAACAGAGTGATAGCAGCTGGTCCCTACTTCGAATTAAGGAGCAGGCCTTCTTTCTGGGCCTATCCTACGCATGCCAAAGCTACCAAGCCCATTGTTTGAGAGATATGAATAATGCTTGTCTGCAATGCTTCCTTTGATTGGGTTTCTTGGGAGTTACTTCTGCTTGCCATGGAGATTCCAGATTGGCTTGGGTGCTACAGGTTGACCCTTCTCTGACAAATGAAGTTTGAAGGTCCTAATATTGCCTCTCTGTTCCAGGGAAAGGTGGAGGTTGAAGCTTGCAAGGAAAACATGAAATTTGAGAACGGACCCTTCTCCTACTATGGAGTCATGGCCTTGGGTACACCCATCCAAGGAGGTAATCTGCATTCCTTCTCCTCCCACAGTCAGAAACTCTCCCCACTTAATAGTTTAGGCCAGGGGTCAGCAAGCTTTTTCGGCAGGGGGCCGGTCCGCTGTCCCTGAGAACTTGCGGGAGGCCGAACTATATATTGGGGAAAAAATACGAACGAATTGCTATGCCCCACAAATAACCCAAAGATGCATTTTAAATAAAAGGACACATTCTACTCATGTAAAAACACGCTGATCCCTGGACCTTCCGCAGGCCGGATTTAGAAGGCAATTGGGCTGGATCCGGCTCCTGGGCCTTAGTTTACCTACCCATGGTTTAGGCTGTAATCCTAACCACGTCTGCTAAGAAGCAAATCCTACTGAATTCGATTGGGCTTACTACCAGGTAGGGAGATAAGAATACATCATTTCCCATAATGTCTTCTATTTGTCTCATGCATCACTGTTTCCATTCCGCAGCAGTTAATTCTCCACTAAAAAGTGCATTACTTGCCTTTCTGCTGCAGCAAAATTACATAAATTACGTTGCTATTACATTATTCTACCCCATTTATTTCAAGTCAAAGGAAACACAATGGAGATGGCAGGGGAAAAATGGTAAGTATCCGTGATTTGCAGACTGAAAGAAACACAAGTAAATCCCAGCTTCAGTTGGTAGAGCATAGATGGGTTTTCTGTGGGAAAAGCAGCAGGGCAAAGGCAAAACCACTCCCCCCCCGCCTAGAAAATGTGGGACAAGCAGGAAACCTCTTGGATCCATGCTTTCCAGGCATAGCACAAGCGGAAGCATGGGTGAGCCCTATGAGCATTTGGTCTGATTTGTTTGCGGAACAGTTTACAACAAGGAGCATGCATCCTAGTTTTCTTGTGGGGAGGGGTGGAGGAAGGGGTGTGTGGTGGAGGCAGGTCACCCCAGGTGTCACCACGGGGGGGGGGGGGACAAAATGCAGCGTGCCTGAGCCACGCATCTTTCCTGGGAGTGACGCGGTGCTTGGGTACCTGCAGGCTCCGCACTGCCCCAAAGAGTCCACCCACCGCCTCCCCCCCCGAGCTGTAGAGTGGCTGAGGGGGAAGAGGCAGGCAGACTCCTTGGAGGCCCCACAGAGTGTCCTGCCCCGCCTGGCCCCGCCCCATGGGCACGTGGCCCTGCCCCTGGGCACAGGGCATGTGCACCGCCCCAGGCGCCTGATCGACTTGCTCCGCCGGTGCTCATGGGGTGTTTATACATCTTTTCATTAATCAGAGGCACCAGGTTGCCCCTGAGACTGAGGGGCCCGGCATGTGATGTGCATGTGAAACATCACATTGTCTGGAGGAGGCCAAGCACTTTGGAGGAGCTGGGCACTGAAGCTGTGGCGCTGCACGCGCACGACGACCCACACATGCAATGCGCAACAGCCTCCCTCAACAAAGATTGAGGGGCCTGAAGATACCTCGGCCCCCTACAGTTGGCACACCTGCCGTTAACCATTCAGTCCACACTTTCCCCCATCACTTTCTTGGCTGCAAAAGGTCAGTTTCGTTTTAAAAGTGGATTTGTTGTGCCAGGACAACAGAGCAAATTTGGTAGTGATGAAATTGAAAAGTAAATTGTGTGTGTGTGTGTGTGTGTGTGTGCGCGCACACACACACACAAAGTGGATGAGGCAGCAATTAGTCATCTGTTCCTGTGCCTTTTTTGGAGGCTGGATAATTGCGTACTTGGTTTGCACCATAGTCTGGTGCCATCTAGTGGTTTAATCAGAACGATTCATCCATCCCCAGTACAACATTCAGGGAAGGGCCCTTGAGTTTCCCTGAGGGTGCCAGACCTTCTTGCGGCTGTTTCCCAGACAATACAACTCCCTCTGGCTCATCATTTCTGCTCTCCTCTCCCTCCCTCTTGGTTAAAAGAGTCCTGTAAGCAAGTAGTGCTCAGGCATAGGCAGGAAAAGTCCAGCACAATGTTGCTTAACCAAGCAAGCAGGCAAAACAATCCCACCAGTACTTGCTGCCACCCCCTGTTCCCCAGACCTGCTATTCTCAGTGACCAGCACTCTAGGCAGCTGCCTAGTATCCCCTAGAGACAAACCTGACTGACTGTTGTGGGAGAGGGCTGACAGCTGGGAGAAGGAAATGGAAATGGAATACAGCGCAGGTTCCAGATCTATATCCTTCCATCCATGGCTTCTAGTTCCCCAAGTTGTTTCAGGGGCCTCTTTACAGGGCTTGTGTCCTTGGCAAGGAGAGACTCTGAAACACAACAGATGTGGGACACATGCGCATAAGCAGCGCTGGCCTCAAAGCAGCACCAGTCCTCCCACCCAAAAAACAACAGCACTCCCTTGCTGTTCCCAGAGGCTGCTTCTTGCAGATTGGAACTGTTTATCTCTGTGTCCAGTTCAATGTTCCCTCTTGTTCCCTTTCTCTTGGATACACTTTCCTAGGCAGGACCCTGGTCTGAGCCCCTCCCCTGCTACATAAATGTGACTTGCATTTCTAGCTCCCTTGGGTTGGTGGAAACATGGTTGAAGGCAGTTCAGCAAAAGTAGATGGAGCTTGGGTGGGTTGGTGGGCCAAGGGAAGCAGCTGGGGAAAGACCGAGGAGAGCAGGCTGGAGCGTACAATTCTTGCTTCTCTTTTCCCCATGTGCAGGTATGGAAATCATGGGCTCCCAGATTCGCATGAGCAATATGCAATGCTTTAGCATCACCAGCGCCAACCAAGTCCTCCCCAGCAGCAGCCTACAGTACATGGCAGACTACACTGTCCGTGCTCTCACTGACCTCCTGTACATCAAGGTGAGGCCTCGGCGGATTTGTTTGACCCCTAAAAAGGAGATTCTGGGTGAGGTGAAGGGTGATACTTTCCTAATAGATGCCGGCATATTCATTCATCTATAACAAGGGTGGGGAAACTTTAGCACCCCAGATGTTGCATTGACAACTCTCATCAGCTCTAGCAAGCCTCACCAGTGGTCAGGGAAGATGGGAGTTGTAGTCCGGCAGCATCTGAAGGGCCCACCTCTGATCTAGAAAATTCCAAAGCTGCCCTCAGTTGAGAACACAGCTTCAGCTGGATTCACAGCCATTTCCTTCTCTCAGGGACAAACGGAATGTAATGGCAGCAGACCTGAGTGAAGACTTGGGTCTCCCAGGACATTCCTCTAAGGCAATGGGATGCAAGGGGCATGACTAAAGCACTTCTATGTAGGTCTGCTCAGACATAAGTTCCACTGAGTTCAATGGGACTTCTTCCAGGGTAAGCATGCATAGGACTGTGGCTTTGCATTCACTTTTTGCAGGGTCATAGTTCCACCAGTGAATATTTTTGTGTACTAGGTGGCGGTCAAAGCTGTGGTTTAGCATTTGAAGCTCAGGCCCAACCTTTGCTTTGTAACTAGCCATGCTGCTCAGGGCAGCCATTTGCTGTTGGCACCTGTGGCCATGTCTCAGATTTCCAGATTTCCTGGTCACCAACGGTTCCCAACCCCTCATAGCTCATTCTCGAAATGGTCTGCTGAGGCAGGAGAGGAATGCCCTCAGGTTATAGGAACTTGAGAATGTGGTCGCATCTCTCATTATTTTTAATGTATTCCACTGCCCATCTAGGCTTCACAGAATTGTGGGTGGTCTCCCTCCTCCCAAAGGTGGAGCTAGCTGCTCCAGCACCTGGAGCAGCGCACATGCTGTGTCTTTGGGGGGGGGCGCTGTGATGTCAGACCCCCTCACGAATGACACCTGTGTCAGGCCGCCCCCCCCGCCCCCCTTCCTCCGCCACTGCCTCCTCCCACTTGGGCAGTTGATTTGACCATCCTGATAAGGCTTCTCTTTAGACACCTATTTGCGGGTGGGTGTAAACTTGATGTTTGCTACTTCTGACTTCTTTGTAGCTTATTCTTTGGCTGCCTGCAGTTCTGTGGGAGAAGGGGTTGAGCTGCCACCTTAGCAGCCCCCACCACACCATTTCTGGCCAGACTACCTGTGTACACATAAAACAGGAGTGAGGAATCTCTCTCAGTCGGAGGGCCTCAATCCCTTCTAGGCAACTTTATTGGAACCACATGCCAGTGATGGGCAGAGCAACGAATGTGAATGTTTACCTTTTATACACCAGGCTGGTTTTTACTCACCCCCTCTCTCACACACCTCTGTTTCCTCCACCCAGGCAAGAGAGAACCATGGTCAGAGTTCAAGAATACACCCCAGCCAGACAAAAACACTCAGCCTGCACTTTCCTTGTGTGTTTTTACCTGGCTGGGAAGCGTGAGTAGGCCTGGGGGAGAATCCTGAGGGCCAGATAGTGAGGGCTTGGAGGGTAGCATTGCATAGCCCTCAAAGGTCCTGGGGAAAATGAAACATCCTGGTATTTTGCTCGAGAGCATGGTGGCCATTGCAAATCTCCTATGTTGGGTGGCTTAGCAAATTAAATAAATTGTAATAATAATAGATAGGTGAGGTCTGGTTGTGCATGCTGGGTGTTGGCAGTATGCTTCTGGAGTAATTGCTTTCTCTCTCCAAAACAGATCACACGGAATCAGTATCAGAACTGTCTTATGGCCTCACTGGCGGAAGTCAATGCAGCTGCAAGTGTCATCCCGCAGGCTGAGACTTCTGCTGACTAGAGTCAGTGCTCCAAAGTGTACCCCAGGCTTGAATTGTCTAGAGTCAGTGCTCCGAAGTGTACCCCAGGCTTGAATTGAATTGAATGAATCTTTATTTGCGTCAGCCATCGGCCATAGCAATCTTTCTTTCTCTTTCTTTGGCTATCACTCGTAGCCAAGTCAGATCGTCTTCCATAAACACGGTTTCAACAATGAGTCCGTAAGTGACTGTGGAGGCCAATTCTGGATCCACACATCTTTCCACAATGGGGACATTGGTTTCTGGGTGGGAGTTGATCACGGTTGGATTTGCCAAGCATGCCTTCCTCTTAGCGTGTTTCTCCCTTGCGTCCTGAGTTTGAGTGTCTTCAAAGCCCATGACACCTTTGGTAAAGGCTGTTCTCCAATTGGAGCGTTTGCAGGCAAGTGTTTCCCAATTGTTGGTGTTTATACTACGTTTTTAAAGATTTGCCTTGATACAGTCATTAAACCTCTTTTGTTGACCACTAGCATTACGCTTTCCATTTTTAAGAGTAGTTGCTTTGGAAGACCGATAATTAGGCATCCGCACAACATGACCAGTCCAACAAAGTTGATGTTGAAGAATCATTGCTTCAACACTGGTGATCTTTGCTTCTTGCAGTACACTGGTATTAGTACGCCTTTTTCTCAAGTGATGTGTACAATTTTTCAGAGACACTGTAGATGGAATCTTTCGAGGAGCTGGAAATGGCATTTATAAATAGTCCATGTTTCACAAGCATACAGTAAGGTTGGTAGTGCAATAGCTTTGTAAACAAGCATTTTGGTTTCTCTGCGAATGTCCTGATCCTCAAACACTTTGCACTTCTATTGGGAGAAAGCCTCACTCACAGAGCTCAGGCAATGCTGGATTTTGGCATCAATGGCGGCCCTTGTGGAAAGATAACTGCCCAGGTAGTAGAAGTGATTGACATTTTCCAACATTACACCCTTGAATTGGATATGTGGTGCTGCAGAGGGGTTATTTTGTACCTGTTGGTGCAGCACTTTGGTTTTTGGGATGTTGAGCGATAGGCCAAGCTTTTCATAAGCTTCTGCAAAGATATTTAGGATGGTTTGGAGGTAATCCTGTGAGCGTGCACACACTACGTTGTCATCAGCATACTAAAGCTCTATGACGGAAGTTAAGGTAACCTTACTCTTTGCTTTCAGCCTGCTCAGATTGAAGAGCTTTCTGTCTGTTTGATATATGATTTCTACTCTGGTGGGGAGTTTCCCTTCGACAAAGTGTAGGATCATGGCAATGAAAATAATGAATTGAGTTGGGGCAATAACACAACCCTGTTTAACACCTGATCCCACTGTGAATGGTTCACTTTGACAGCCATTGTTATCTGCGATTGTTGCTGTCATATTATCATGGAGGAGCCGAATGATGTTCACAAATTTCTCTGGGCAACCAATTTTCAGAAGGACAGTCCACAGGGCATTACGATTTACAGTGTCAAAAGCCTTAGTTCGGTCAATAAATACAAGGATTGTTTTTTCTCTCTGCATTTTTCTTGAATTGAATGCATCTTTATTTGCGACAGCCATCTGCCATAGCAATACAAAAACCATGCGATATACAAAGAATTAAAATAAAAAGTCAATGATATGACATACATTTTAGGGTTTTGATTCAATAGTCAAATAGTGGATCTTATTCTAATTGCCCCAGCTAAAAAACCTTGCAACCTTTGCTGTCACCTGCTCCTTTTGATCAATCTCATTACATTCAAACTGCTAGAGTCTTCAGGGAAGCTTCAGTCTGTGACCTCCTCACTGGGAAAGTCATAACTGGTCGTGACCCTACAGATAAGAACCAAAAAACCTTACATTCCAAATGTTGTAAACCTGTCAGCCATGCCAGAAACCAAGAGCCAAACATAGAACACTTTAATCTGAGGGGGCAATTAACTGACTTTAAATCAACAACTGTGACACGTCATCCTGGTGCACCCCAGGCTTTACTCAGTTCCTTCCTAAACAAGGACAAGAAGGGACACGGGTGCCAAAAGTGAGGACAGTTGTGTGTCAGTCCAGCAGGCCATGTGGAGCTAAATCCAAATGAGATGCCTGCTACCCCACCATCAGTGTGAACCTCCCAACTTGTCACTTTCTGGTACTTTATTTCTCTGAGATGGTTTACAATACAGTGGTACCTTGGTTTACAACCATAATCCGTTCTGGAGGTCCGTTTGTAAACCCAAACAGGTTGTAACCCAAGGCGCGCTTTCGCCAATGGGGCCTCCCCCCAAAAAATTGTTCGTAATCCCCCCAAAATGGGTTGTAATCCAAAAAAAGTTTGCAAACTGGGACACGCACTTCCGGGTTTGAAATGTTTGTCATCCATAAACGTATGCAAACCAGACTGTTTGCAAACCAAGGTACCACTGTAAATGCACCTCAAGGTGAGAAACCAACAAAAGAGGGACCTATGGACTGTTGCCTTGCCTGCCAGCCTTTCTATCCACTCTATTTCTCTCTTTTTTTGCTGTTGATTGTCCTCCTGTGAATTGCTATTATCTGTTGGGAAAAACCTCCCACTGGAGCCAATGGAAGTCTCTTCCTCCTCATTTCTAATAGCAGCATAGCACAGGGATGAGCGAATCTGTCAATTTCATAGAATCATAGAATCATAGAGTTGGAATAGACCACAAGGGCCATCGAGTCCAACCCCCTGCCAGGCAGGAAACACCATCAGAGCACTCCTGACATATGGTTGTCAAGCCTCTGCTTAAAGACCTCCAAAGAAGGAGATTCCACCACACTCCTTGGCAGCAAATTCCACTGTCGAACAGCTCTTACTGTCAGGAAGTTCTTCCTAATGTTTAGGTGGAATCTTCTTTCTTGTAGTTTGGATCAATTGCTCCGTGTCCGCTTCTCTGGAGCAGCAGAAAACAACCTTTCTCCCTCCTCTATATGACATCCTTTTATATATTTGAACATGGCTATCATATCACCCCTTAGCCATATCACCCCTTAACCTCCTCTTCTCCAGGTTTCCATCTGTTCCTCATTTTTCCAGTTTTAAGTTGAGTTCACCACATTTCTGCACCAGTTTTTTGTTTTAGGTCTTCATGAACATTCATCAGCATTGTAGTGTGAATTTTTTCTGATATACCTATCTTTCTGTGCAAATTTGCCTAATGTATACATTTTTGAGGACATATTTTCCCCAAATATAATGCATTTTTGTATGTTATTTTCTCTATTTAAACAAAGTTTACCCTGGTAGATGCATTTTTGCACATATTATTTGGCTGGAAAACTGTGTTACAAAAATCAGACAAGTGCAATTTCAAAGGATGGCTGCGCTTATGCTTCCATATTGTTTCAGAAAGCATAAATTAGGCACGTTCACCATTAAATGTGAACTGGAAAAAAAATTGTCCCCCATCCCTAGCATGGAGAGGAAGAATTTGAATCAGGACTGTTGCTGGGAGGGGGAGGGTTAATCCTCTTGTCCTTGTTCACCAAGGAGCCACCCTTCCTCTTCTCTTTCTTTATTTTTTTAAAAAAAGATATTTATTAAAGTTTTCAAATTTAATACAATAAAAAAGAATCAAAAAGGAAAAAGAAAAAGAGTTTAAAAACACATAAAGTTCACAATACTTATTTTTCAATAACATATTTCCCTGACCTCCTCATACCTCCCCTTCTTGTATTCCAATTCAAATTATTAGTTCAGCAAATCCTTATCCAATTTTGCCTTATCCAAACTTAAACATCAATACTTATACATCAATACTCATTCTTAAAACATATTTTCTAAAATCGACCCAAATTCCCTTCCACGAATTTCCCAATTTTCATACAAATAACAAAACAAAATGAAAACAGAACAAATTATAATTATGTACCCTTTGGATTCCCAGACTCCACCCCCCCTTTCCCGGTTTCAGTCCCCAACAAATGTCTTAATCTACTATCAGCCTGGAGATCTCACATCCGAGGCTCTTAATTCTCTCTCAATTCCTCTCTGCCGGTTTTTTTGATAGTCCTTAATATTGAACACCAAATCTCGGAGAAGGTCTAGCCCCACAGGATCCATGTTTCTTCCAGCCAGACCTCCATACTTAAAAGTGGAGCCCGAATCTTGTTTCTTACTCCTTTCAAGTCCAAATGTCCCCAAAGCTCCAACTTCCACCTTAAGCAAATTTGTAATCCTTAGGTCTTCAGATCTCCACATAAGGAGATCTCTCCATTTTTCAATCTCCAATTCAGGCCAAATTTTCCACATCAAGCTTTTATTTTCCTTTGTTGCCGTCATGTCAGGCCTCAAACTCTCCTTTGTCATCTGCAAAGTTACAGCTTCTCCTTCCTTTTCTTCAGGGACAACATATATCTCCTCCAAATTCTCAAAGCTCTCAAGTTTCTCTTTTTGTCCAGTTGAATAGACTTCCTGATTCAAATCCTTATCAAATTCAATGATGTTGTTTACTGTTAAGTCCAGAGTTGTAACATTTGTAGCCAAAACATCAATTTGGCCTTGTAACTTTCCCAAGAGAACAAATACTCTGTCCAGTATAGCCTGAATTTTCCCTTCTCCAGCCATTCTTGTAATGTCCCGCAACCCCCTCTAGAGGGATTTTGGTTCCTTAATATTCCTTCCAGTTCAAATCCAAAAATCAAGTTAGTTTATATCAGTTTATATCAGCTCTTCCTTGTTTTCAACAAATTGTAACAAAATTGTAACAAATATAACCAGCAGAAGCAACAGAAACAAAGTTTTCTTTTTCCGTCTTGACAGCTAATTTGACAGCTGTCAAACTCTTCAGTACCTCATCAACAGGCTCTCTCGCGGATCACTCCTGGGTCCGGGGGGGTGGCACTTCAGCTCCCAAAATTAGCTCTTTATCCTCCAGTAAGATTTCTTATGCTGCCAAACCGTGAAATTAAAATCTTTTACCCAAGAAGGGAAAAAAAGGGTTCTCTCGACCTTAGTTAGCAGGTCCTTGCTTTAAATTATTTACAAGGAGGGGAGGCGGACTTCCTGTTTACACCTTCCCCGATCGTGCCTAATTCACAAAAATTTTCTTTACAATTCCAATTTTCGTACTACTCATGGGTTGTTACTTTAAAGTCCAATTGCTCACA